AGTGTTCCAAGTCATCTTCAGTTTCAGCAAGCAAGGTTGTATCATCTGCACATCACAGACTGTTAATGAGTCTTCCTCTAATCCTGATTTCTTGTTCTTCTTCATATAACCCAGGTTCTCAGATTATTTGCTCAGCACACAGATGGAATAAGTATGGTGAAAGAATGTAACCCTGATGCACACTCTGCAAATCCCCTTGTTCTGTTTGAATGACAGCCTCCTGGCCTATGTGCAGGTTCCTCATGAGCACAATTAAATGTTCCAGAATTTCCATTCTTTGCAATGTTTTCTGTAATTTGTTATGATTCACACAGTCAAATGCTTTTGCATAGTCAATAAAACACAGGTAAACATCTTTCCGGTATTCTTAGCTTTTAGCCAAGATCCATCTGACATCAGCAGTGATATCCCTCATTCCACTCCTCTTCTGAATCCAGCACAGGCCAATTTTTTGAGAAGTGGATGAAAATTATATCTCTGTTGTTTGAGAAGTGGATGAAAGTGGATCAAAGTTTAGGAAGTTAGAAATGCTTCTTCAGGACACTGGCCCTAGGGGAACACTTTCTCTCTCTGTTGGTTCTAGAGTTTCTTGACTCTACTGAGCTTCTGCTCCTGGGCAATGTTCCTGTGGCTGGCATTTTTCTCTTCCCCATCTCTGCTTCTTAGTTTGCTTGTTTAATCTCTTATATCTCAAAAGAGGTTGACTCAGACACAACCTACACTAACCCTGCTTCATTAACATAAGAAAGACAGCCCATTCCCAAATGGAATTATAACCACAGGCATAAATACCAAACCAAACTCACTGTTGTCCAATTGATTTGACTCTTAGCAACCCCTCCTTGAGTTTCCAAGGCAGTATCTCTACGGAAGTAGATTGCCCAATCTTCCTTCTGAGGAGTGGCTGGTGGGTTTGAACTGCCAACCTTCTGGTTAGCAGTCTAATGACTTAGGCAATATGCCACGAAAGCTCCCAAACAGAGGCATAGAGGTTAGGATTTACAGCACTTATTTTGGGGGGTTACACTTCAATCTATAGCACCACTTAAGAGAAAAGACCCACAGGTTCTGAAGTATGAGAAGCCTCCATTGGATCACTCTATCGTGACAAGTCCCACCCACCATACAAAGCTTCCAATCAGCCTTTTAGTGCCTCATTCATTATGATTAGCCAGCCAAAGATCACCAGACATTGAAGGGAAGGCTAGATATCAGCATGCTGGTGCTGCTACTGAAATTGCTAAATCTTTAGAATTTTTAAAAGATATTTGACATCATATTGATAGCTTGAAATCAGCCACAGTGGGAGTATTTACAACCTGAAAATGGGCAAATGCAACAAATCAGAGCATTTCTTCCCCCATGGACATCAACATATGGAAACAAACAAACATGAAGAAAGCAATTCAGAGGAAACAGAGATAATACAAGAAGTTGAAGAAAATTATAATTAATATTGTCAGAGACAGAAGAAAAGCTAATGGATTCATGAACACAAATAGGATGATGATATAAAAAAACATCCAACAACAAAATAAATCTCAGAGAAGTGAAAAGTCTTGCTCAAATTTATAGAGCTGAGAAACACCAGAGCCTTCCCAGGCACTTCACTGCCCTCCACTGAACCTGCTTCCTCATCTGTAAGATGGGACAGCTAACCCTAAGATGCAATAAGGGTGGAGGAGGGGAGGAATGAGAATAAGAATATGCCAGCTTATGCCTGGTACATAGCAGGTGCACAGCAAATGCAAACCTCTTCCTTCTGCATCTCATGAGGCATCTTCATATTATGATTGACTGCTATGCTCACTGCAGGTACCATCATCATGGAAACTGGCCCATCCATCCCCTTGTGATCATCATCATCCCCTTACTCTGAGACTGAGATTAGAGGTTGGAGTGTGCTGAATAGGGTGGGGCCTGGGCTGCGTGTGAACACAGCTAAGAAGCTTATTTCCAGTTACTTACAGCCACTCCTCAGAAGGAAGTTTGGGCAATCTACCTCCATAGTGATACTGCCTCGGAAACCCAAGGTGGGGTCTCTATGAGTCGGGTCCAACTCGACAGCACATAACAACAATAACAACAACAACTTACAGGATGGGTAGTTGGAAAATACAGCCTTGGTCATAGAAATTACATGGGAGTTCTCATGATAGAATTTTGCAAAACCAGTGACTGATTCATTGAAAATACCTTCTTCCAACAATATAAATGAGGTCTATACACATGGACCTTGACAGATGGAAGAAATAGGAATCAAATTGACAAGAAATGTGGAAATATGCAATGGAGAAGCTCAATATCATCAGTCAGAACAAGACCAGAGGCTGACTATGGAACAGACTATCACTTGCTCATACGCAAATTCAAACTGAAGCTAAAGGAAATTAAAACTAGTCAATGAGAGCCAAAGTACAGCCTTGAGTATATCCCACCTGAATTTAGACACCATCTTAAGAATGATTCAATGCATTGAACACTAATGACAGAAGACCAAATGAGTTGTGGGATGACATCAAGGACATCATACATGAAGAAAGCAAAAGGTCATTCAAAAGACAGAAAAGAAAAGAAGGACCAAAATAGATGTCAGAAAGGACTCTGAAACTTGTTCTTGAATGTAGAGTAGCTAAAGTGAATGGAAGAAATGATGAAGTAAAAGAATACAAAGTAAAGTATTATAATGAAATGTACAAAGACCTAGAGTTAGAAAACCCAAAGGGAGGAAGATGTTCAGCATTTCTCAAGCTGAAAGAAATGAAGAAAAAATTTAAGCCTTGAGTTGCAATATTGAAGGAGTCTATGGGCAAAATACTGAACGACACTGGAAGCATTAAAAGAAGATGGAATACTCAGAGTCACTGTTCCAAAAAAACATCAGATGATGTTCCACCACTTGAAGAGATAGCATATGATCAAGAACAGATGGTACTGAAGAAGTCCAAGCCACACTGAAGGCATCGGCAAAAAACAAGACTTCAGAAATTGATAGAAAATGAATTGAGATGTTTCAACAAACAGATACAATGCTAAAAGCACTCATTCATCTATGCCAAGAAATTTAGAAGAGAACTACCTGGTCAACCAACTGGAAGAGATCCATATTCATGCCTTCCAAAGAAAGGTGATCCAATGGGATGCAGAAATTTTTGAACAATATGATTAATATGACATACAAGTAAAATTATGCTGAAGATAATTCAAAAATACTTGCAGCAGTACATCAACAAAGAACTTCTGGAAATTCAAACCAGATTTAGAAGGGGATGTGGAACAAGGGATATCATTGCTGATGTCAGATGGATTTGGCTGAAAGCAAAGAATACCAGGAAGATGTTTACCTGTGATTTATTGACTATACAAAGGCATTTGATTGTGTGGATTTAAAAATTATGGATAACATTGCAATTTCCAGAATTTCAGAACACTTAACTATGCTCATGGAGAACCTGTACATAGACTGAGACTGTCATTTGAACAGAACAAGGGGATACTGTGTGGTTTAAAATCAGGAAAGATGTGCATCAGGGCTGTATCTTTTCACCATACTTATTCAATCTGTATGCCGAGCAGATAATCTGAGAAGCTGAACTATGTGAAGAAGAATGTGGTATCAGGATTGAAGGAAAATTCATTAACAACCTATGATGAGCAGACAACACAACCTTGCTTGCTGAAAGAAAAGATTTGAAGCACTTACTGAAGATCAAAGGCTATAGCCTTCAGTATGGATTAACACGTCAACATAAAGAAAACAAAAATCCTCACAACTAGACCAGTAAGCAACATCATGATAAATGAAGAAAAGATTGAAATTGTCAAGGATTTATTACTTGGACCCACAATCAACACTCATGGAAGCAGCAGTCAAGAAATCAAATGACATAGTGCACTGGGAAAATCTGCTGCAAAAGACCTCTTTAAAGTGCTAAAAAAGGAAAGATGTTCCCTTGCTTATTCTTGAGGACTAAGGTGTGCCTGATTCAAGCCATGGTATATTCAATTACCTCATTTGCATGCAAAACCTGGACAATGAATAAGGAAGACCAAAGAAGAATTGATGCTTTTGAAGTATGGTTTTGGCAAAGAATACTGAATATATTGTGTAGTACCAGAAGAATGAATAAATCTGTCTTGGAAGAAGTACAGCCAGAATGCTCCTTAGAAGTGAGGATGTGGAACTTCATCTTGTGTACTTTGGATATGTTATCAGGAAGGACCAGTCCCTGGAGAAGGACGTAATTTTTGGTAAAGTAAAGGGCAGCAAAAAAGAGGAAGACTGTCAATGAGTGGACTGACACAGTGGCTACAACAATTAGTTCAGACACAGCAATGATTGTGAAGATGGAGCAGGATTGGGCAGTGTTTCCTTCAGCTGTACACCGTATGGTCTCTATGAGTTGGAACCAACATGACAGCACCTAACAACACAACTTACAGGGTGACTCTAGCTGATGTCCACTAGAAAGAGGCTGTGAAAACTGCTTGCTTGCCAAAGTATCCAGAGAGGGTAGCCAGTGACAGTCTGCAGGCTGGACAGCAGGCCTAAACTCAGCCAGGCTGGGAAATGCTGATGGAGTTGGCTGTTCAAAAGGAATTAATCTCAGTCCTCAGAATCATCCCCAGTGTTGAGCCACAATCCTACTCAAAGGGCCTTGGAAGGAAGATGGTGATGATGCCACGGGGTGGTGTGCTGAAGGTGTTAGTGTGATGGAGTTGTGGCCAAGTGTGATGACTAGGAACTGGTGATAGAGGTGGCGTTGGGGATGGGGATGGAAGTTTGGTTGGGGGTGAGAATGGCCATGAGGATTAAAGTGATAATATTTGCAATAATGAAGATGGTGATGCAGGTGGAGCTGGAGGTTGTGATGAAGGTGGAGGGAGGATTAAGCTGATGATGGGGGTGAGGGTGACCATGTGGACTGAAGCTATGATGGCATATAATAAGGTGTGGATGAAAGCAATGATGACATTTGTGATGATGAATGTGGCGATACATATGGCATCGGAGGTGGTGATGGAGATGGAGATGGGGGTTAAGCTTGTGATGAAAGTGAGGGTGAGGGCTAGTATGGCCATGAGGATGAAATCAATGACGACACTTGTGATGATAAAGGTGGAGATACAGGTGGGGTTGGAGGTGGTGATGATGAGGGTGAAGCTGGCATGGATGATGATGGTGGGCTGCTGGTGTCTACTGCATGAGGACACTTTAACATAGGCTGAACACCCCTGGCATCACCCTCTGCTACAACTTGTCCCTAAACCCTTCATCTCTTTTGTTCCCTCACTTCCCCTCCTTCAGATGAGTCAAAAGCCACAGGGCAATTAGTCACTAATGTGACTTGTATACCAGTAGGGTATATAAGATGTGTTCGGTACCATTACAAAGTCCAGCTCAACCTACCTCAGAAGACAGGAGAATCCTGCACTCAGACCTCTTTACCCTGTCCCTAGGGAGAAAGGGAGGCACAAGGGTGGGTTCTGGGCTGTGGCTGGCACTTTGACCCCATTACCATTTAGTCCTTGGCAAACCATAGTCCAAGAGGGTAAAGGACATGGCCCAGCATATGAGTAATAGGATCAGGATCCAGGAGCAGCCTGTGCTCTTTGTCTTTTCCAGTCTTCTGGTGTTTGTTTTTTCCTATTCTGCCAGCCTTTCCTGTGAGCCACCCAGAGACCCCAGACAGGTGAGGTTGAGAGTGAACAGCCTTAACTACGACTTTCATGCTCCAAATCCCTGAGGCCTCCTCCAACAGGGCCCCTCCTATACTCAGCATTCTCATGGCTTGTCAAAGTTTCTTCCAACATCCCCTTCTATTCTCACAAGAGCAGGAGCCCTGCTGATCCTTACTTACAAAAAAAAAAAAAAAAACCCACTGCCATCAAGTCAATTCCGACTCACATCTCTTTATGGAAGTAGATTGCCCAGTCTTGCTTCTGCGGAGAGATTGGTGGGTTTGAACCACCAACCTTCTGGTTAACAGTCAGATGCCTTAGGCACTGTGCTACCAGAGTTCCTTATAATAATAACTTTTTGCATTTGCAAAAAGCACACACAGAGTCTTTTCTCTTCATCTGATCCTAATACCCTTGGAAAGAAGGGATGGGTTGTCAACCCATTTTTACAAATAAAGAGACCAAGTCTCCGGGGGGATTAAGGCTCCTGCCAAAGGCCCCAAAGCCTGTCAGAGGTGGAATTGGGATCTCCCAAACAGTGCCCCCTCTTGCTTCATCCTGGCCCTCCTCCCTTCCATATAGAGTCAAGTTTCACACTGTCTTGACTCCTCCTTGTCACAGAGACTTCTTACAAACACACTCACTCATTTGGATGATAATGAGGCCAAAGTCCTACAGTTCAGAAGTGTCATTTTGGGATTCAGTTACTTGGAAAACATGTCCAGAGCCTGTGTGCACTGAGAGAGGCACAAGAATGGGCTTGCCTGATGAGACTTTCAGTACCATTGGGTCCAGTCACTCCCTAACTTATACTTCCCCATGGCTCCCATTGGCTACAGGACAAACTTCTTGTGCCTCAAGGCTGGCAGACTGGGTCCTTACGGATCCTGGGCTATTCTCTCCCTATGAGCTTTTCTCTTCCCTTTCCTGTGATCCAGTGGGATTGAATGCTTCTGGTGGCGCAGTAAGGCCAATGGTTTGAATCCACCAGTGCTCCGCAGGAGAAAGATGTGGCAGTCTGTTTCCATAAAACTTACAGCCTAGGAAACCCTGTGGGGCAGTTCTACTCTGTCTTATAGGGTCGATGAGTTGGAATGCACTGGACAGCACACAACAACAATCTCAGCCCACACCCTCTACAGGAATACCTCATTTTATTGCACTTTACTTTATTGTGCTCGGTAGATACTGCATTTTTCACAAATTAAAGATTTGCAGCAACACTTCGTGGAACAAATCTATCAGGGCCATTTTTCCAACAGCATATGCTCACTTCATGTCTCTGTGTCACATTTTGGTAATTCTCACCCTATTTCAAACTTTTTCGTAATGCTATAACACCCTTAACAGACTACAGTATAGTGTAAACATAACTTGTATAAGCACTGGGAAACCAAAAAAAATCACGTGACTCGGTTTATTGTAGTGATCTGGACTTGAGCCGACAGTATGTGGGAGGTATGCCTGTATTTTCCTTACTCCATTAATTTGCATATACTGCCTCCTATGCCCAGAACGCTTTTCCTGCCTTCTACATATATGCAAATTCTCTTCAACCTTTAAGACCCAGCTCAGGTGAGAAGTGAAAATCAGACAGTCAGCAGCCCCTTCCTTGGGCCCCTAAGCTCTGGTGCCCCAGCAAGGGCAGGTGAGAGTTCTCTCTTGTTTATCCATTAAAAAGATGTGAATGCAGTTGTCCTGGGCTGGGGTGGGAAGGGGAGTTGACCATGGCCAAGCAAGCACACGCCCCAGGTATCTACTAGCCCCAGGGCCTTTGTAGGAATTTGTGGTAGGCACCTCTTTCTCCCCAGAGAACAACCTCAGGCCATGGAGGGGGTAGAGGTTAGAGTGTAGGAAGGTACGAAATGAGGCCCTGTCTCACTCCAGACCCCCATTCACTGCACAACCACACCAGGATGCCCTTCCCCACCTCTCTACTTCTCAGTTGTTGTTGTTATGTGCCGTCGAGTCAGACTGACTCATAGCGATCCCTCCTTGGGTTTCCAAGGCACTATCACTACAGAAGTAGATTTCCCAAACTTCCTTCCGAGGAGTGGCTGGTGGGTTTGAACCACCAGCCTTCTGGTTAGCAGTCAAGTACCTTAGGCACTATGCTACCAGAGCTCATTTAGCCCCTCTGAAAAATGTAGATAGTCTGTCGTTGTTGTTCGTAGTTGCCATTGATACGGCTCCAACTCGTGATGACTTTACACGCAACAGTACAACATGGTGCTCAGTCCTGCACCATCTTCACAATTCTTACTATGTTTGAGTCCATTGTTGTGTATTGTGCTAATCCATTACACTGAGGGTCTCTTTCATTTTTTATTGACCCTCTACTTTACCAAACGTGATGTCCTTTTCTAGTGAGTGAGCTATCCTGATGATATATCTATATTCTAGAAAATACAGCTTCTTTTTCTCCAAATCCTAGCCCTACCCCCCGTCTTTTCCCTGCTCTCAAAAAGTGCTTGAGTGAGGGTCAGAAAGGACACAGAGGTGAATTGGGGTGGCTTCTGAACCCTACCCCTTGCCCTCCCCCCTGAGATGTTCAGACCCCTGGAAATCTTCCTTGGTTTGGAAGGGCACACCCAGCTCCTCACCAGCCTGGGGCCTCAGGCCTGCCTGCCACAAGAAGTGCTGGGTCCTCCTTAGCCCCAAACTGACATCAGCCACCACTCTGAACGGTTTATGGCTCAAAATCATCTTTTTAGAATTTAAACTCAAGGAAGTGAGGACCCCAAGCCTGCCCAGGGGTTCCAGGAGGCCTGAGAAGAAGGCACCCCCCTTGCCTCTAGGCTGCAGAGGGTGGGCTCAGCCATCATTCTCTGGGGTTTGGTCCACCACAGCCCCCACCCCTCCAGTTCACCACAGACTTTCACTTCCGCTTTCTCTTCTGCCTCTCATAACTGTCCCCTCCCAGGTAGGAATTATCATTCTAGGTTCCAAGTGAATTCAGGCTCAGAGAAGTTCTGAGAGAAATGTCCAAGAGTAAGGGACACAGGTGTCAGACCTAGTCCAGCTCCAAATTCAGGACTCCCTGACAAGGCTTGGTCAGGCTCACTAGACTCCCTGGGAATCCTTGCTCCTACTGGACAGAGAGTCCACCCAGGGTGACCTGATGCCCAGATATGGGACCTGCATGGCCTCATAGGGCTTATCCCCAGCCTGGTCCATCCAGCAGACACATAGGGAATCAACAGACCTGGGTTTGAGTTCCAGCTTTTCATTTACTTGCTGTGTAACTCCAGGTAAGCCTTTTTCCCTTTCTGGGCCTCAATATTTCCTGCTGAGATGTGGGGTGAGGATAAGGACTATAGAGCCCACACACTAGTGGTCAGTTTCCATCAGTTGGGTCTCAATGTGAATTGAGTCTCTGCTTTGTGTCTGGTGCCCTAGCCCAGAAAGTTCCCACTTCAGGCCTGGGTGTCAGCTGAGTGTCCACCTTGTACACCAGGGTGAGGAGATATGCCAGAATCCAGGAACCAGCCACAGCAGGGTCAGTCCTGGGTTTAATCCCAACCTGACACCTGCTAGCACTGGCCAAGGTTGCCTGGAGTTGAGCATTACAGTTCAAGGGCTTTTTCTTGCATTATTATTATCCCCCATTTACAGATGAGGACACTGAGGCTGAGAAGAGTTAAGTGGATCACAACAAGTCAGGGAAGAGCTGGGATCTGAACCCAAGTTGTTGAGGTCAGAGGCCTGGCTCTTTCTCTTCAGCCTCTAGGGGCTCAGCCACCCTGTCCTCACCCTCCTTGAGCTTCCTAGAAAAGGGAACTGTCAGGATGACTCAGTTCCCTGGGGGGAACCTCACCTCCTTTCCATCTTGTAAAGAATCCTCCTCCTCCTCCATCACCACCACCACCACCTCCACCACCACGAGTTGCCGTGTATGTCAGAGGGGAACTGTGCTCCAGAGGGTTTTCAATATCTGAGTTTTTGGAAGCAAAGTGCCAGGCTTTTCCTCTGAGACCCTCTGGGTGGACTCCAACCTCTAGTTGGAGGTTAGCAGTTAAATGCATTAATCATTTGCACTGCCCAGGGACCCGGAAGAACCCTCAGGGAGTCCAAATTACCCAAGGACTCCAAAGGGAAGCCCCCTGACCTGTTGGAACCTCAGGTGGTAGGTAATACTATCCCCACATTGCAGAAGAAAGTGAGGCCTTGTATCCAGGCTGGGACTCAATCCCAGGTCTGTCCAACCCAGGACCGGCTGATGCCTGCTCCCTCCACCCAGATGCAGAGAGAACTTTAAAAGACACTAAAGCTCACATTGGTCCCCACGGACCCACTCTACCCCTGGCCAGGAGCCCCCATGCCCCACACCCCTGCCCAGCTACCTGTGTGGTCCCTACCTGAGCACTAGAAGGGGCCGTGGAATGGCAGACACGGCTGGGCACCATCTGGCCCTGCAGTGGCAGTGCAGCTGGCAGACTTTGGCATCATCCCCGCCTACCCTGAGCAATCATTAACCCTGGTGGAGACCGCACCTCTGGACAGGCTGACTTCTCAAGAGGCGCAAGCCACAGTGGTGAGGGGCAGGAGGGCAGAACTGAGGCAAGGGGCCTCAGTGTGCTTCCCATAGACCATCAACCCCAAGCTGGGGACAAGGCCCCATGAAGGATGGAGGATGACCATCAAAGGAGAAAATCAGTGACATGGGACCTGTGGGAAAGGTGAGAGAGGGCTTAGGTCAGGAGATGGAGCTGGTAAAACAGTATAACAATCAGACATAGAGACTCCCACATGGGCCCCTGTATTAGTCAACTAGGGTTACCATAACAAAGTTCCACAAATTGATGGCTTAAACAATGAAAATTTATTGTCTCTCAGTTCTGGAAGCCAGAAGTCTGGATGTCAGCAGGGTGTCAGCAGGGCCATGCTCTCTCGAAGTCTCTAGGGAGAGATCCTTCCTTATCTCTTCTAGCTTCCAGTGGTCTCGGACATCCCTTCCTTGTGGCAGCATCACTCCAGTCTCTGTCTTTAGGTCACATGGCCATCTTCCCTCTGTTTGTCTCTCTGTGTCACTTCTCTCTCTCTCTCTCTCTTTTTTTTTTTTACAAGACCTCATCCTACTCCAAAATGACCTAATGTTAATTTAACTGATAACGTTTTCAAAGTCCTTATTTCCAACAAGCTCATGTTCACAGGTCCTGGAGTTAGGACTCCAATAAATCTTTTTTGGGGGACACATTTCAACCCATAACAGCCCTGTGAGTTTTACACTTGGATTTTGCCTGGCTCAATAAATGTTTGTGACCATTTTTGTTGCTATTCTTCCCCTGTGTTGAGGTTTCAGAGGGTCTCCACTGTCTGTCAGGGAGGGCCTCCATTCATCCAAGAGTTGGCTTTGAACTCAGCCTCAATACCCAGGGCCACTAGCGGGGACCAAGCTCCCACTTCCTCCTACAAGCCCCATAGGCCCCACCTTCTCCTCATTGACACAGGAGCAAGGGGGCACTGGGAATAAGATCATGGGCCTCAAGTTTCATCCTTCTAGTTGGGTGGCCTGGGGAAGTCAATGCTCCTCTCTGAACCATTGCTGCCTGTGTCTGGACCATGGACTGCTGGTCCTTCCCATGTTGGGCACCCATAAATGTGGACAGGGAGACATCCAGCCAGCCCAGGACCAAGCCAAAAAATCCACTTCCATCAAGTTATTTCCAACTCATAGTGACCCTATAGCCCTGTAGAGTTTCCAAGACTAAATCTTTATGGAAGCAGATTACCTCATCTTTTTTCCCGTGGAGTGGCTGTTGGGTTTGAGACACCAACTTTTTGCTTATCAGCCAAATGGTTTAACCACTGTGCCACCAGA